AAAGAAAGAGATACCAGTTAATAATTCCTATTTCGAATCATCTTTCATTCTTTAGCGTTGAGTTTTTATAAGTGAAGCGTGAAATGTCAGTGTTGACAAGTGATAATTTTTTCTTCTACGAAATTTAATATTAATTTGGTTTCAGCGATATTTATTGTGATTTGTTGTTGTATTAAGTGCTTTCTTATTTAATATGGGAAACAAAACGTACAACAAACTCAGAAAAAGAGGAATCAAGGAGGGATCTATGGCTGTCATCCAAGGGTCTGCGCCCTAGATAATACTGTTCCAGTGGGAAAAGCCTTTAAAATTCAAGTATAACAATTTTATGTTTCCGTTTTCCCTTCTTTTAATGTAGGTGCCAATTTTGAGGTAAGTTTGTAATAATTTTTCATATTTTTTCAGTTAATACCTACCCTCTTAATATTATAATTTAACTATGATCTTATGCTTTCCTATGGACACGATTCAAGGAGGGAGTCCTATGGCTGTCATCCAAGCCCTAGATAATAGTTTTCCAGTGGAAACAGCCTTTAAAATTCAAGTATAATAATTTACTTTTTTTGAAGTAGATGTCCATCTAAACTAAATTTTTTTATTTCACTTATTGATTTTAGCATTTATATACAGTATCGGCTAATGAACACTTTCCAATACGCTTGGCTAGAATCGAAAATAAAACTAAAGAGTTAGCGCATTAGTTCGATCAGGAAACGAATAATATGAATGTTGCCTTGTGTGCTGTGTAAAGGCGGGTACAGATCTGAGCACGTACGCGTATGAGGCAAGCCGAGGCCGAACCGAATGCCTCGTGCGACGCATTTTGTATACACGAATGGTGGACGCACGAGGCGCTGTTCGCCACCGACCCAGTAAATTCGCGAGCACGCAACCGTACACCCAGAACACTCGTATAATTGAAAAAAAATGGTGGTATGGTAGTTGAGTGCCTGTTTTATTATTTTGTCTTGCTCTCCATAAAATATCTCGCTGATTATATACATCCAGAGAAGCAAAACCTTTTTCTGTCTCCACTTCATGCAAAATAAACCTTAAATACTCGCTATAATCTATTCGGTACAAATTCCCCGTCCAGACTGAGCACGTACTGCGCATTGCCTCTCTTTGATGTACCGCCAACAAACGGATCGGGGCGAGGCCGCACGGTGCAATTTGCCGCGCCTCGGAAGCTCGTTCACATCTACATGCTCATGCGTACTCGGTTTGCCTCATACGCGTACGTGCTCAGATCTGTACCCGCCTTAATATGAACAGGCACACGGTGTGATGCATCCCCACGTAGCCAGCTGGCTACGTTCATAGTATTCTATTCCGTCTCCCACTAATGCTAACTCTTTGTAGTTTTTACTTGGACATTAGCAAAACGTATTGTACAACATTCGATAGCTGCCACTGTATTATCACAAACATCTCGTAATAACTAAATGATTTCATTTAATAGTTTCTTTTTTTTTCAGTAAAATGGATATGGCTAGAGTTATCTTCGTCTTTAAAATATATTAAATAAGTTTTATAATTTTTCAAATAAAATACTTTATACAATTTTTTGATTTTTTTACCAGAGCCAATTTTTTTTCAGATCTAACCTCTATAGGTAAAAAATAAGTGATTTAGGTAAAATTGAAAAGTATATTACATGTTCTTTTAAATGTGTTGTTAATCCAAATGCTGCTCTTATTGTAATAGCTAATAATAAAAGAATTAGTATTATTTTTAGCTATCAAAATAAAAATAGCGCCTGGATTTACAGCTCGTTTAATCGAACATGCAATATACTTCTCAATAATTATTGCCGAATGAATATATTTAAAAATTCCCGCCATTCCGCGGCTGAAAATTTACAATTTTGGCGGGAAATTTAAATTTCGCCTTTAAATTATATTTGAATTTACCGCCATATCGTGTTAGTTGAGCGGCCAGACACAGACGCATTCTTGCGCTGCAAACTTAGTGCCAACTCTTTAACAAGTGAGATGCGCTACTATAGGGGATATATTGTGGTTACGACCGAGCAACAACAAGATCTGCTCTCGCTTCCGAAAGACTACTCGCTGGTCCATAGCACTTCCGCCAGCATCAACGACGCGCGAGGACTGGCATATGTGTTCCGTAAGAAGTTTGGTCAACTGCTAGAACTTCAACGTCAGTGACCAGCCCCTGGAAAAGCCTTGAAACTTCAAGACGAATCGCGCTACCTTTTCTATTTGATAACGAAGAACACCTTCCGAGATCGATCCACCTATCAGGATGTATGGAAAGCATTACTCAGTCTGAGGGAGCATGTACTGGAGTCCAATGTACAGAAACTAGCCATGCCAAAGATAGAAGGAAATCAGCTGGATTGGAGGATCATTAGGAACATGGTGGAAGTAATCTTTCAAGATACCGGAGTCCCAATACTGGTCTGCAGCCATTCGCCCAGTGCCCAGGTTACAACGAAGACAGTCCCTTGTTACTTCCATGCAACTGGAAATTGTAAAAGAGGATTCAGTTGCAGATACCACCATTCCAGTTTAGTTTCGTAAGAGTTCCAGAAGGAACTATCTCTTAAGGAGGGGGCAATGTTATGTGAGCCATTTCATTATTCAGTCATGCTCTAACCCTACAAGTCCCTCTCTGTCTTATTTGGCCTTTGAGGCTCAACTTGTCCGCTTATTATACATAATTAAACCCCTTAAGACCAAACCTATGGGACGACTATGGTGGAGGTTATTTCGATGATGTTCGAGAAAGAACGAGATAATGTTTCTAGTGTATTGGAGAGAATATGTGAACTTACTAGAACATTCGCCATTTTTTTATATTTGTATATAAATTGGTGGACGAGCCATCAGATTCAGTTGTTATATGGACAGTGAAGATAAATAGTAATTAGTAGATAGACAGTGGTGAATATAAATAGTGAACAGTTCAAAACATTCGAAATATATATAAATTAGAATAGTAGTGTTATAAATAAGTGTTTAAATAAATTATTAATTAATAAACTGTTGTTTTAAAGTAAACAAACATCACAATATAAACGTGTTTCTACATGTATTTGGTGTTAATTTTTTAGCTGCAAGCATTTCGAACATTCTCAGAATATGAGGTACATACTGGGTATATGACTTTTAGTATCTTCTAAGAATGTCCCGTTATGGTACGTGCTCAGTATATACTTTTTGGAATATACTTTTAAGGCAGATACTCAGTATATACCTTTTGGAATATACTTTCATAGCACGTACTCAATATATAGGTACTTTCTAGAATATACTTTTAAAGTATATACTAGGTATTTTCTAAGAACATTCTAGAAAGGACATACTAAAAAGAACATAAACAGTATGTTCTTAGTATTGTTACGTTATAAAATAATTAATAAATATCTAAATAAATAAATTAAAATATTATAAAATCCATCTAACAAAATATTTTAATTATCAGCAGTTTATTATTATCTAAACAATTAGTCAATATTGAAAACACCGTGCGGAATGCGACAAAAAGAATGGATACTGGCTTGCTGGCTTGGGGCGTCGGCCTAGGGGTTAAGTTAAATTAGATAAAAAGTTAGGTTGTGTCTAATCAGTGAACAAAGGGTGCCCTCAAAAGAATGTGAGTAGATTCTTCTTATTTTATTATATCTATATTTTTGATAGTGGAAAATATAATTGGTTTTTTTGTAAGTGTTCTTAATTTTCTGTGTTCTCCTCCAACCCTTTCTGGTAGTTAGTGGCTACGCTGACGGGGTTAATAGCACACCCCGTAGCAGTATATTCATAGAACATTGATCTTATGTGGGATATTTTATAAAATTTGGCTCCTCCTCCTCCACCAGGCAATTTCGCTGGGTCATTTTTTCTCTCCAACGTTTTAGGTAATATATGATGCGTAAGTAGGCATACGCGTGACTTAATTGTCAGAGCAAGATGAACATGATAGCTCTTCACTGAATAGAGTCCGATGAGAATATTGGTCTGTTTTTAGTGTCTAACGAAAATAAAGTATTAAAAAAAATAAATAATGGTTTTATATAAACGAAATAACGACAAACTATTTTTAACCAGATTTTGAGGTCGCTAAGAATGAATTAACTCATAGAATTTAAAAATATTTACTAGCAATGTTTAAGGTCTAAATTGTCTTGTTTAATATTATAAAAAACAATGTTAATAGAATATTTTTATTGATTAATTTCAAAAACGAATTTTACTAATATTTTAATACAAGATGGCCCAATTTATGAACCGGCACATTGAATATCACATAATGGTGAAAATTTAAAAATCCTAAAACAATAAAATTCGTTTTCAGCGACCTCAAAAACCCCTGATTACCTAACATTAAATTTGACGAAAACTTTGTCAAGTTATTGCGTTTTTATTATTTAAAATTTAAACCATTAATTTTTTTATTCATTAGTTTTCGTTGGACACGAAAAACGGCCCAATATTTTTAATGGACATTAATTTAATGAAAAGGTATCAATTTTATTTTGCTTGGTACAATCGTCCACTTTTTGAAAATTAGTCATGCGCGTGTCCACTCACGCACTACTTTAAAACGTTGGAGGAAGAAAATGGCCCAGCGAAAATAGTGGAGAAAGTGAATTATGTGAAAAACATACCAAAAACTTAAAAATAAACCAAAAACTAGCAATACAAAAATAAGTCGCGCACACATGCCTCCTCACGAACTACTTCAAAATGTTGAAGAGAAAAAATGGCCACCGAAATTGATTGAGAGTTTAATATTTCTTGTATGAATGAACATAATGAAAACGTTAAAATAAGTCAAGTTTTTGAGAGGTACATACCAGCCATAAAAAAATAAGTCTCAAATCTGCACATTATTGACTCTAAGACTAGAACAAGTAAGATTCAAATCCATTTTTAAATTTTGGTGTATGCGAAGCCCCTGGATATAAACGCAACATATTATTATGGAACGTAATACTGGTTGCCTGTTTTTAATTTTAAATTTTATAACATAATCTGACATAACCTCAATATAATTTAAGATTGTATTTTGAATTTTACATTTTACGCATATTATTTATACCTATTATGTTCAATGGCTTTTATAAAAGAATCAAACGTAAATATTCTCGATATATTCCGAGAAAAAGATTTAGTCAAAATATGTGCCCCCATGGTGCGATATAGCAAACTACAATTCAGAAATTTGGTAAAGCTCTACAACTGCGATTTAAACTTTACTCCAATGATTCTAGCCGATTCGTTTTGTCAAAGTGAAAAAGCCAGGACCAACGAATTTACGACAAATTTTGTAGATACGCCGTTAGTTATTCAATTTGCAGCAAATACAGTTCACGAATTTGTAGGCGCAGCACATTTAGCTTCTCCTTATTGTAACGGAGTGGATCTAAATTGTGGATGCCCCCAACGGTGGGCTAGAGAACAGGAACTTGGATGTGAGATGTTAAAAAATCCTCAATTGGTATATGATATGGTCAGGTAAAAAAATACAATCTAAAAATTTTATAAAATGTTAAAGATAACATTTTGTAAATGTTGAAAGCTTTATATGAAAGTCCTTGAATTCTTCATTATTTTTATTTACTAAATTGCCCTCGTTATCATGTATATCTATTCTTCCACTTAGATATGACTCTCTCCTGTTTTACTGGGCAACAATTTGTACTTTCCTTCTTCCTCCAAATCTATTTATTTTATTCAATTAACAAATTAGGAACATGCACATACCTGCACCCTTTATACATACAATTGTCAGTTTTCATTAAAACCAAATTGATATTATGGAATGTGATGTTAGTCTCTAAAAGTTCGATGGTTTCGGGAAATAATGGGACGAGTCCAAATTTGTTACTTTTCAGGAGAATTGATTGTTGCAGTGCTGATTTTAAATAGGTATGAGGTCATAAAAATTTCAAATTATATCGACTTATCCCTTTTGGAATAACGGAATTAGATATACATTGTAACTTATATTTTTTCTCACATGCGATAATTTCTAAGATTATTATATTTTTATTATCGTAATTTTTATATTATTTTTACTATTGTAACTTTTATATAAATGTATAAAATAGTAGAATACCATGAACAAAATAGTTATATTTTCTTTTCTATAAGCTCATGGTCTCCATCACACTCCAACTGTGCATACTGGAATTAAAAATTTCTGATCGATGATCTTTTAAAACAGTAAAATACATAGTTATCAGAGTTAGGGTTTCGACTTCTGGAGGACGATTCTCCATAAAGTTTTTTAAACATGATGCGACTTGATTACCACCCCTGCAAGCTATTCTCATAGCCAGATATAACAAAACGCCTAGTTGATGTTGCAATTATGAACAGTGAGATTGAATTTCCATAACTGCCTAAAGTAAAATGTAACTCCTGTTGCCAAGAATGGGGTTGGTAAACACTATTTTATTTCAAATACAGCATTTTTTCTGAAGAACTGATTTTCCATCCAGCTTTATCTCTTACCTTTTGTTCCTAATATTGATTTGCCACTTTAAGGTGAAATCTACTTGTGTCATCCAAATTCACTTATCTTGTTTGGCCTATAACTCCTTTTGACCCAAAATGACTTATTCCCAGAAACCATGGAGTTAAACAATAATTTGAAATAGTTTCTTATTGGTAGCAATATTATTAAGAAATAATGGTTTGCTTTGTTTCTCTCAGTGTTTTAACCACTCTTTTCCCATTTATTTTAACTAAAACCTTGCACAGCTAACTTTCTAATGTTAATTCTTAATAAATCCATAAATACTCTTACCTTCCTAAGGTTAAAGTTAGTTACATTTTTTGCAGGCAATGCAGAAATCGCATATCCAAACCCTTCACTGTAAGTGTAAAAATAAGAATTCTAAATGAAGACAATAAAACAGTGGAACTATGCAAACAACTAGAAAAATGTGATGTCAGTTTTCTAACACTACATGGTCGTACTTCAACCCAAATCGTAGGAGAAGTTAATAGAGATGCTTTAAAAGCAGTAAGTGAAAATTGTGATATACCCATAATAGCCAATGGAGGCGTAACAAATCTCAATGAATGTTTTGAGCTAAAAGACTACACGGGATGTAAAGGAATTATGGTAGCAAATGGAATATTGACTAACCCAACTTTATTCACAGGCAGTTCAATTACAACATTGGATTGTGTTCAAAATTGGTTGAATATTTGTTACAATAGTACATTAACACAGGAGAACTATGAAAAAGAAACAAATAATCCAACTAATTTGATTAAAGAAAAGCCTTATAACTTATCCTTTCAAGTTTTTCATCATCATTTAGTTTTCATGTTAGAAAAAGTTCTCCCAAGGAGAAAGAGACAAATTTTTAACAGTTTGAAAACTTTTAGCTCAGTTTTACAGTTTTTAGAAGATTATTTTACCATCAGACCTCATTTATTTGAACCAGGTGTGTTTTTAAAATATGCCAATTTCAATTTGGATTACACCAAAAGGGAATCTGTTTATCAAGATTTGAAACCTATTATTGAAGACTTTAAAGAATCTTTTCAAGTTTACAATGCAGACAATAGGGATGGCAAATATTTTTGTTCTAAAATTACATCTGATAATAATGATAGTTGTGATTGGTCAAATTTGTTCATTGAAAATGGATGACATTTGAGTTTTAATAAGACATCTTTGATACATTAACATGTATGTTCCAGCTTGACCTGCTATGAATAAAATAATTGTGTTCACAATAACAGAAATACAGGAAATAAGGAATAGATTGTTAATAGGATAAATATAAAAACATTTAGACACAGTTGCACTATTTGTTTATTTTGTTTACACAACACTTGAAAAATTAAACTATGCATAATAAAATATTTATTTTTTCCTTCCACCTCTTTCCTTGATCTGCAATTGGATAACAGCGCCTGGAGTAACATTATAATAGGCCAATGTGTTGGAATCCTTGAAAAACATTCCCTAAAAAATAATGATTTACATTTCTTTGGGGTACAAGATTATAATGTTGCATACATAATAGGAGAATATAAATAGGCTATTGGGACTACATAGTCCAAGCGGTGGGTAAAGAATAAGGGGGTTTATTCGCAAAAGGTCGGGAAAGAAATGAAATTTGGTGGGATGGTAGACATGGGTCCCCTGATACTACACCTAAGTTTGCGGCCTCGGGGAGTGGAGGGATGAAAACTCTGCGTCGCGATGCTTTTCGGGAAATAGCGCCGTTGTGGTAAGTGCTATCGAAAAAAATTCAAATGAAATATGTACAGGACACTACATTTTTGTCTGCGACCAATAGTTTCCGCTCTACGACGCGCCAAAGTAGGTTATTGATTTGCAATGTTCAACAAAATGTTTCAGCGCAGATTAAGACGAAGATCGCTATGAAACAATTATGTAATATTTTTTTTTTTTTTTTTTCTAAAAGAGTAATGATTTCTGAATGAGACTGCAGATGCCTGATTTGATACATTTGGTCATATATAATAAATGCTATGATGTTTTGAAGCGCCCCCCTACATACTCCGATATAAAGATTTTGTAATTATCAGAATCTACAGTCAATATTTCCTTATTAATGTTGACCTAGGCGCCAAATTTATTATTTTTGTGCATTAGTTGTCATGAATATCCTGTTTGTGCTATAGCATACGTGTCCCTTGTTTGGCCTTAACTTATTATTATTTACGAGTATGTAATATAATAATTCTTTTCCGTGCTACATAGTAAATTGAGAATAAAATTTGCAATTTTTTCAATATGTAACGGCTAAAAGAGGCAGATACCGTCTGTTATTTTAACTATAGCAAAATAAAAGGCGGTACCCGCCTCTTGTAGGCGTTCGATATTGACAAAATTGCAAATTTTATTCAAACTTTTATTATGTAGCAATGAAAATAATTTTTGCCTGAGCCATATATTATTACTATTTATTATTTCTATAGGTATACAGAGCATACGTCTAAACATAAATCGAACATTGGCTAGGGAACGGCAGGTAAAGAGGACGGAGATATACAATAACGGTCGCCGCTTGCGCCTTTCAACCAGTTCTGTGCGTTCCCACCTTTCGTCCCTTTCCGCAACGTGCCTGACGTGCCATTAGTGTGGTGTTCTCGGAAGGGTGAAGTGTACAACATGGCGTCCTTTGATAAAATTTAGGTTTCATATGTGACCAAACATTGCACGAAGGACATACCGTTGTTGTTAAATAAAATGCTTGAATACATTAAGAAAATCTGGCCAATTGCGAGAAGATGGTAAAAGTGATACAGTGTTGGTGAATCAACAAATAGTTACTGTGCATGACGCGTGCCGCAAACATTATATAAATCCTAAACTCGTTGCATCATCAAAACGTAAACTACGTGACGATCAAGGCAGTGCATGCGCTGATGAACCTTCAACTTCACGACGGTCTATGGTGCTGCAATTTGATTTTAAGACTAGATGTTTTTTTTTGTAATACGGTGATAAACAAGGAAGATTTAAAGAAAATCTAGACTATCCGATCTGGACCCCATTTACGAGGTGGGAACCCTATGAATAAAAGAAAAAAATTGTAGCGTGTGGTGAAAAACGCGCAGATGATTGGGGTCGAACAGTTGCGAATCGTCTTGTAAATATTGCAGAGGAGGCTCACTATCACCAGTCATGTTTTATAAGATTCTATCGTAGAGCCGGTGTACCCTCGTCGGATAAAAAGAGGATATTGACCAGCAACAAACGTGGATGAAGCAATGGAATATATTTACAGTTATCTAGAAGAAAACGCAGAAGACTGCCAGTTTTCCCTCGAAGATTTAATTAATTCAATCGAGGGAGAGTATCGACCTGATGTACAAACGATCCAGACCCGATTACTGCAAAAAATATGGCGACGATATTATCATTGTGCAGCGCGGTAAGCGATCGGCAATTGTGTGCTTTAAAAATACGGGATTCAAAATTATAACGGAAACATGGTAAAACAGAAAAAACGCCTCAAGACGAAGGAATGCGTATAGTTGAGGCCGCTGCAGCAATAATCCTAGAATACATTCGTTCACAAGTATATAAAACTGCGAAATATTTTCTTACAGGACGTAGATACAGTTGTACCAGAAACTTTGCAAACTTTTCTTAAGGTTGTAATTTTGAAACACAAGCGCGGGTCCCTAACTAAGTCGGGAATTAAAATTACAGCCCTGGCTCATTCTATTATAGCAGCCGTACGACCGAAGTCGTTTTTATCACCACTATTAATTGTTGTGGGGCGTTTCTACACACTAAGTTTGGTTCTAGACAACTGTTAGACGTGATGTCTTCCTTGGGATTTTGCGCCACATACGATGAATCTGTACTCTTTCAAAAATCTGCCATTATGCGTATATCTATTGCCATCGAACCTGACGCATTTGTACAATTTATATACGATAATGCGGATTTCAATACAAAAACACTTGACGGACTAAACACGTTCCACGCAATGGGTGGCATTCAGTGTGTCACAGCAGGTGCCGCTTTTATCCCAGCATACCAATTCCTCGACTTATGAAAAAACCCACAGCGAAAGTAATAGGGGCCTGGTGTTCAGTCGATTGCAATTCAAGACCTCCAGAACATTCAGTCCATACCAGGCTGGAATGGCTTCATGAAAGAAGTGACCTGTTTAAAACCATACCAACGCAGTCGAATTTTGTGTTTACCTTTTATAAACGCTCCACCGAGTAACTATGATACAGTATTCACTGCTCTCTTGTCCACAGCAAAAAAATGTAAAAGTCTGAAGCAACAAACTTTGTAACATTTGACCAGCCTTTGTATATCAAAGCGCGTGACATTATCGCAAGTAATTTTGATCATACATTAACTAACGTTATTCCAATGGGGGCCATCTACTATATAATGGCAGGAAGTGGCTTGAAACAACTCATTAGTGTGATATATGCTGAACTGTCTGTTGATCAAATGTTATCTGGGCATGCATATAGTAGGGCCTTAAGAGCCCATATTTTATGTCATGTGGCGATCGCCAAGATTATTCGGCAAACTATACAACTTACAGAGGACGAAAGAGTCCATAAGACCGAGGCCTTGGATCCTGTGAATCGTTCGGTTATACTGATGATAGAACAGAGACAGAGTGAATCGTACAAAAGCGTCGCAGGAAAATTCAAAGAGAGTCTTATGCAACTGGAAGCCCACGGTCCGACAGGAAAACTGTAGAGCCAATATTTTCGTATAGTGACTATCCTTAAACAATTCAATGAAGCGGAATTCTCATCCAACTGGCATCTACAGTTGTTGGAGAGGTCGACGTAAATTACCAGCTGGCGTACAAAATCGGGTCAGTTGCGATGACAAAAATGCTTGGTCATACTTTTGAGTCCGTGAAATTTAAACGTAAAGACACACTTCTCTCTTTAGCAGCTGCTAAATGTAGTGGGAAGATTGGGTCGTTTCCCGTTATTATCAATCCGCTTCTGTTATTTCAACGCATATGCATTACAAAAAAATCTGACGATGAACTGAAATACCTACAGTACGAACTTGCGCTTTCAATGTTCACTGAGGAAGGACAAGGTGGCAAAATCTTCACTGTACAAAGCTTATGTGCCTGTTACACCAGTCATAGAAGTTGACACAACTATACACGTTGTTAACGGTGGCTTTTTGCTCCATCGTGTTGTGTGGGGCAGTCACAATTCATTAGCAATGATTTGTGCGAATTACATTAACTATATTGCAAGGCATTATGGGCCAAATACAATTGTTGCTTTTGATGGATATCCCGAAAGTGGGACAGAAACAAGTACGAAATCTGCTGAAAGAAACCGCCGCTCGAAGCAGCACTGCATCACTGATATACTCTTCGATGAATCCATGATTCCAACTGTATCGCAAGAACAATTTTTATCGAACAGCTTCAACAAAAGGCGCCTCATCGCATTGCTGCAAACAAAGTTGGAAGCACATAATTACAATGTTAAGCAGGCGATCGAAGACGCGGATTCATTAATTGTAGGAGGCTGCCATCGAACTTGCTCCCTCTTTTTCCTCCGTATTCGTTATTGGAGAAGATGTAGATTTGCTTGTGTTGTTGACTGCTAAAGACAGAGAGATCCCGAATCTTTATTTGCGCAAGCCGGGTAGACGGAAAAAGGAGGATGTGTTCTATTCGCCTCAGAGTTTACAATATAGCGATGCTGTAGCGAAAAGTATGTTATTTTTGCATGCCTTCAGTGGATGTGACACTACATCGGCGTTGTTCAATAAAGGCAAAATTCGATTCCTCAAAACTTTGGAAAAAAATCCAACATTAACAGACGCGATTCAGGTATTTGACGACCTCAATGCCGAATTAACCGAAGTCGTTGCCGCTGGCGAACTGTTTATGTTGAGACAGTATGGTGCAGGAAGCGAACATCACAAGTTGGACTCTCTGCGGTATACGAACTTTGTCTCAAAAAATTCATTCTATTTAGCGGCGCTGCCACCAACATCAGATGCATGCCATCATCATTCATTGCGTACTTATTGTCAAGTACAGAGCTGGCGGGGAGTTCAGAAACCTCCAGATTATGGATGGCGAAGAACAACCACTGGACGCAGTACGGATGGCAAAGGAACCAGCTCCAGATGTTTTACTTAAGAGCGTCTCGTACAGACGCAAGAAAGGTTGTGGATTTGCTTGTGGTTGCCATAAAATAGAATTGAAATGTTCGATTCTGTGTTTACACTACTGGGATGTCCTGCGAAAACATTCCGGACCAGATTGCGTTAGACGACGACAATGCAGAAGATGCTGAAAACATTCGCGATCAGTTACAGGACTATAAGGACCAAACATACGCCGAGCTTGACGAATAAACCCAAATATCCACTGTGGATTAGGCCTCCTGATATACCACGTTATAAAAAAACGAGCCGATCAACTCTACCTCAAGGGTGGTGTGGAAACGAGTTGAAAATGATACTTTCTAGTAAATAATAAATTTGTCGCCTAGGTCAACAATAATAAGGAAATATTGACCATAGATACTGATAATTACAAAATGTTCATATCGGAATATGTATGGGCGCGCTTCAAAATATCATATTTATTATATACGACCAAATGTATCAAATAGGGCATCTGCAGACTCAGAAATCATTACTCTTTTAGAAAAAATAAAATAACAATTGAAATTCTCATTTTGTTGAACATTGCAAATCAACCCCTACTTTGGCGCGTCGTAGAGCGGAAACTATTGGTCGCAGACCAAAAATGTACAGGTCAAAATTGTGCACGATTTTGTCCTGTGCATATTTCATTTGAACTTTTTTTCGATAGCACTTACCATAACGGCGCTATTTCCCGAAAAGCGTCGCGCCGCACCCCCGAGCGGCAACCCCCCGAGATCGCAAACTTAGGTGTAGGATCAGGGGACCCATGTCTACCATCCCACCAAATGTCATTTCTTTCCGACCTTTTGCGAATAGAAACCATCCTACTACACAAAACATACCTTGAAAATATCAGCCAAATTCAGTAATTGATTTTTACCCACAAAGAAGTTGTTTGACAATTTTAGACACCTTAAAATATTCATGACAGAATGCGACTTTAAATATATAGGCGACACGCTGATAATTGATAATTTGAAACTTGTGGGGAGCTTCAGAATTAATACAAGAAATGAGTTTTACCTTCCAAAATAATGAAAATATGACTAAGAGATAGTTCAAGAATAAGAAACCTTATTAACAAACATAAGAATTAAAATACAATGTTGTACACTTACATCAAAGAATAACTTTTGTTTGGCGGGAGGCATATTCGTTTCTTCCTGTAATTTGGCTTTCAAGTTTGCCACAGATTCTCCTAAAGGAAAAGTCCAAGACATCATTTGTCCAGTTAATCTCCATTCTGACTTTTCCGGTATATGTGGAATCGAAACTTTTATCGACACTTGGCTCTGAAAAAAAAAAAAAAAGTTAAAATCGAATTTGCAATAAAAACTAAATGATATTCGTTTGAAATTTGCAATTCTTTACTTACTGGATTTCTAGACAAGAACACATTTTCGGGAATGAGTGAATCCTCGTTTCTTAACTTCTTATTACTAGGTTCATCCTCAGATGGTCCATCATTAGGATGTTTCATAGGGGGCATGTTCATACCAGGACCCATCGGTGGTCCAGGCATTGGTCCTACAGGAAAGCCACCCATCGGCGGTGGTCCGGGCACTAATGAAAGAATATATAAGTGAACAAAAATTTGCAAAAAATATTTTAAACAGTACTTACTCATAAGAGGTGGTGGTCTTATGGGAGGCATGGGAGGAGCAGGCATCATCATTATAGGTGGCTGTGGAGCCATCATCGCAGCCTGAGTTGGAACTGGAATCATTTGTGGAGCAGGGGTTTGTATAAGAGATACTGGCGGCTTTGGGGGCTGTGAATGGGAATAATTTATTTACAAAAGTACAGTTTTTTCAACACAAAGATCTCATTCAAATAGAGACTAGTACAAATTTCCCATTAAATAAAACAGCAAAGGAAAATATGTTGGCGATTTGTGTAAGAGATAGCATATTGTTTGAAAAGTAATTGGCAAAAAAATATAGTTTTATTTATCTAGGAATATGTTTGATGGTCTGTAAGTCAGTAAAAAGATTAAGAAATATCGAGGCCTGAACAGAAGGACCTCGTAACCCTCAAAATTATTGAAATTGAGATTTTGCTTGATTTCAATTCGGAATTACTGAGTTACAATTGTACTAATTAAAAATCCTGTTTGCAGAAAATAGAAGAAAACATTGCATTATTTTGTGTCAAACTGTGAACGCAATACCTAGTAAACAATCGTAACTGCTCAGTCCGCCATTGCCCGTTATGACAATCGGAGGTGAGTACCAGAAACATCTTTAATTTCGTAAAACATTCTTTTTATGTGTGTGTTTGTATTCTTGTGCATTATATGTTTCTACATAATAATGATAATATTAGTCGGTAGTTTACTTATAAACATTCATATTTATTGGAGGTCCTGCCGATCCAAAACTCTTGAAGCTCTAAGTTTACGAGAATGTTTTCAGTGTTTTCCCAATTCAGAGGTAAGCAAATAATATTATGCTTAATACCAATAACAACCCTTTTGATAAATGAATGTATCTTAACACACTAATTTTAGGAGAGTGGTCTGCAAGATCTTGGACTTTATCCACAAATAATGGGATGATAACAAGTGATGAAGTTGAGGTTTCTTCGAGGTCGAAACGCAAAATACTAAGGCGGATAACAAAAACATGAAGATTGCTATTTTTCGCCTCGAAAAGATCAGTGCGATGTTTGTTTCATGTTTAAGAATGAAAATGTACTTGAAAAAAAAAACTACAAGAGGCACACATAGAGGAAAAAATGCAGCTAGAGTTAAAAAAGAAAGAGACAAAGCACAAGCTCTGGATAAAAGTTGTCATGTTATTACAATGGATGTACAAAGCTATTAAACTGTCACCGCAGATTCCGACTATAAGACTAAATTGTGCTGTCACAATTTCACATTTTATGATCTTGCCAAAAAGTAGTGTGCTATTGGTATAATAATGGACAGGCCTCAATCTACGCTTCATTCTTGGTTCATTTTTTTATAAAACAATTTCTCAATAAAGGTGAAATAAAACCTATTATAATTTATTCTAATGGATATACAGCACAAAATAGGAATGCCATTTTATCTAATGCTCTATTGTTCTTATCTAAAAACATGATGTTAAAATAACTCAAAAATTTCTTGAGAAGGGTCACACCCAAATAAAGTGACTCAGTACATAGCACAATAGAGAGCCGACTGAAAAATAAGGAAATCTATCGTCCCAGCGAATATTTAAGAGATTTCAGTTAAAAAGATTTGAGGAAGTACGTAAGTTCATAAGAACATCTAAAACATTATTTGTTACAGAGATTCGAGTTTTTGAATATTATCAAAGGGTTATCAAGTACAACCTTTAAAAATTAGGAAAGAGGATCGAGAGCAAGGATGCATGGGATCTCTGAAAAATCAATAAGAAAATCTCACAAAAACAGAGGAGGAGACCTTAGATTTACTACTAAAGTCACACTTTCCTGGATGTGAGATTATTCTTGACCAAGAGAACAGGAGTACTGAGGCACTAATTTCTAGGGCCTCAAAACCAAACTGGTCTCTTGCAAACTCAATAGTAAACAGAACAAAACTTGTGTGGGCGATAAATTCCTTTCAACCATACAAAACAGCTGGACCTGATGGTATAATCCCGACACTTCTACAAAAGGGCCAGGAAGTACTGGAGGGACCATTGTGTAAACTATTCCGAGCTAGCATAGCCCTCGGATATGTTCCACAAAGCTGGAGGTGTGCAAGAGTGGTCTTCATTCCCAAACCCGGGAAAGCGTCTTACGAGGAGACCAAATCTTTCAGACCAATCAGCCTAACATCATTTCTCCTAAAAACATTGGAGAAATTGATCGATAGATATATACGGGACGATGTTCTACGGGATAAACCGATACATCAATACCAGTTTGCCTACCAATCTGGAAAGTCTTGCGATGCAGCCATACATAGGCTAACTCAACAGGCTGAACAAGCATTGAAAAGCAAAGAAATAGCACTAGGAGTCTTCCTAGATATAGAAGGAGCCTTTGACTCGGCTTCATACAATTCAATACTGGGATCTATGCAAAGGCGTGGAGTAGCCCACTGCATTACGAGGTGGGTAGAGTTCATGCTTAATCATAGAACCATTACCAGTAATCTCCTTAACACAACAAGAGAGGTCTCAGTTAACAAGGGATGCCCGCAGGGAGGAGTGTTATCTCCTCTTATGTGGACCTTGGTGGTTGATGACCTCTTATGGGAGTTAGAGAGAGAAAACTTATACACGCAAGCATTTGCAGACGATATAAGCATCGTAGTGAACGGTAAATTTGGGTCTGTTGTATCCGAAAGGATGCAGCGGGCACTAAATATCGTCGAAAAATGGTGTCTAAAAGAGGGATTGTCCACAAACCCGACAAAAACCTCTGTCGTTGCATTCACAAGAAAAAGGAACCTTCAAGAAATGAATGAGCTTTATATGTGGGGACAACATTTAAAAATGGCAAAAGAGGTTAAATATCTTGGAATCACTCTTGATGACAAGCTTAGCTTCTGCAGCCATATAGAAAAAACAACAGAAAAAGCTGTAAGAATACTATGGGCCTGTAGACGGATGGTAGGGAACGCATGGGGGCTTAAACCAAGTATGATGCACTGGCTTTACACTATGGTTGTAGTACCTGTTATAACTTACTCATCAGTCATATGGTGGCACAAGACTAAAAGTATAACAGCTAACAGAAAATTAGACAAGGTACAAAGACTAGCCTGTCTAATAATAACAGGGGCATTTAGAACTACGCCCACAGCAGCAATGGAGCTACTGCTAGGTCTTCCTCAACTACACCTTGTGGTGGAGAAGGAGGCTATGGCGGCGGCATACAGGCTGTTTACTAATGGATTTGGATGGGAACTTTCGAGAAAAGGACACACCACAATGATATAAGAGAAATTAAAACAAAATCCGGTACTAAGAATGCCATCGGATAGAACGCCCATTATTCACGACTTCAGGAAACCTTTTGATATTCAATTACCAGAAAGGGCCAAAAGCCGGGAAAATAGGGAAAAACAAAACGAATTAATCTGGTATACAGACGGTTCGAAAATAAAAAAACAGTACAGGAGCTGGGATCTACCATGTGAACTCAAGGAGGACAATTAGTTTGAACCTGGGGTCACTGACAACAGTCTTCCAGGCTGAAGTAACAGCAATAAATCGCGAAAGCGCCCATCAGACATATTCTTGAATTCATCAAGAAAATCAATCTGATGGTATAGAAACTGTGAGGGGTACAAGTGGGCTTTGAACCACGCCCTAATTCAGATAGATAGATAGATAGATAGATAGATAGAAGTACAACCTGGACTTCAACAAGCTGTCCAATCGTCCAAATCAAATCAAAGATTTAGAACTGACGGAATTTCCCCCTATGTATATCCAGAGAAACGAGATCACAGAAACGAAGTATGACCATCTTCAAGCTATACAGAAATGCATACCCCAAAATTAATTACCAAAGTTTCCTTTTTTTATTTTTAATACGTTACAAAGAGTTGTTTTAATTTTCTGTATCAGATTTTTTTGTTTATTATCCAAAAGTTTATTTTGTAGGAATAAAAATTGTTTAAGAGCTTAAAGGCCGGTCTTTTCACTCCGAGTAAAGTTACATCTAGGCATTGTATAAAGAACTAAATAGTAGTCTCACCTTATGGAAGTTTCATTGGAGCGAAATGGATACTACCAATAGATGGCGCTAGTGAATATGGATAAGTCGATATTCGTTTGCAGTGGGCGGAGTTGAGGGTCCAGCAGAAATTTTTAAGAATGACTGTAACCGATCGATGGATTTCTATTTTTAGCTCTTGGATGAAATTTTATACACTCGTGATTGAATGTTTCGACTATTTTCTATCTAATGTTTGTTATTGTGCGTTAGTGCGTTTACGGGTGAGTAGTAGGTATTGTGAATGAGTTGTGTTTATGTTTTATTACTGAATTATTTTACTGTTAATAGCGGACGAGTTCCCAAAAAAAAATTGTGTATTTATAACTGTTTTGAAATTAATAAAATAGAAAATATGCTTTTGTTTTTCGTTTCCTTTACAGGTTTTATCCGAATTAATTTAAAATAAATTATATAATATTAATAATAGCAATAATAATACATTTCTTAAGTGTTGAAAAAATTGCATTTTTAATTTAAATACCTAAGTACTTAGCATAAGTAATTATAAACAACAGGTTATTTCTTTAATCTGGTGCGTTACAATGTAATAAAAAAACCCTTAAGATGGTTGGTAAATAATATAAATGAATTCTTAATATTGAAGTAAACACAATGGGTTCTATAAGGATTATTGGTTGGGGTTCGGCTTTGGGGGATAGGGTCGAAATATTGAAACTAAACTTGGTATATGGATGTATTATCCCATAAAAATAAAAATCGCTTTAAAAAATTCACCCCTCCCCACCCCTATCTGATATGGTGAGGGTGGCATTCCCAAAAAATTAAGTTAGAACTTTTTAAATAAAACAGTTGAAGTCTACGATTTTTTATACATAAAAACACAAAATTCCAATTTTTTTGAAAAAATATTTTCCAACTTTTTTTTAACTTTGAAAAAATTTCGACTTTAATCTTCATAGTTCGGATGTGGGGGCTGGCATTTAAAAATAGTTACAAATACATAAAAATCTTATTTTTTGCATATTTACAATAGAAATGATTTGCAACATTTTTGTATAAATATCTTTCCACCACCATCCCCTAGAGGGAGATGGAGGGTGTGGCATCCCCAAAAAATCAAGTTAGAACTTAAAAAAAAAAACAGTTAAAATCTACAATTTTTTATAATATAAACCCAAAATTTCAATTTTTAAATCAAATTATTAAATTAAATTATTTTTTTAATTTCTTTATTATATTTAATATTATTTCTACGTTTTTTAACAATAATCAATTTAAGATATCTACTTTGATTGAGCCAAAATATTTAGTAGGGGAAGTTTTTAATATTATACAAACATACTGTGTGTCCAAAAAAAATATATGAATTTGGCTAAACATTAACCTTTATTTCTAAAAACAGGAGAACAATGTTACTTGAAAAATGTATCTAGAATTAATATTTACCACCATCAAATCCTGGACCTGGACACAATTTTTATTTAGCAATACGGGAGAAGCGGAAGTGACATTTTTACAAATGAAATTAATTTCAACAAATTTATTTGAGATCATGTACAAGATTATTCATTATTAAAGACACCTTTTATAACCACTATTGCATATTCGAAAAAAGCTTTAAATAAAAGTTTGTGAATATGACTGACTTTTTTTAAATATACCATAAAAACACGTATTCAGATTTCACGGAATACAACACAAATAAACTTTTTTAAATGGGATACCCTCTATGTTATTAAATTTCTGGGATATTTTTTTTCTAATTTCACAAATGTATATTATTGATAACCCTATCTTATACCGTCTGTTCTCGAGTAATTTAACGTTGATAATGTAAACATGAAAAAGTTAACATTATTAAAGTAAAAGCTATGAAAATCACAACTATTATGTTTGATAATAAAATAATCCAAATAGGTTTACAGTGAGAAAGAAAAAGTGTAAATATTTATAAGATATTCGACATAGATTATCTATGATATTCGACGTTTAATTAATCGAAAATTGAAAAAAATATATATCTATGCTATCCTTATTAAAAAATATTCATGTTAAATCCTGTGAAATATGCACACCACTGATATGGTCATTTGATGACATTTTTACAAAATTCGGTCAATGTAAACATTATACAATAATAATTATAGCATAAAGGGAGGGTAATTTATAATGAATAACCCTGTTAGGTACCATAAATTTTCAGTAAAAAATTTTTAATTCGCACTTTTTTACGTAGATTAAAGAAAAATGTAATTTTGTGCGTTTTCTTGGTGCAGACATTTTGCGACACACTGTATATTCAAATCGAAAATGATGTATTTTCTTTTAACACATACCTAATACAAATTTATTATCAAAATTTAAATACTTGTTATTTTCGGTATATTTCTCCTTTAGACACACACATTTTTAGTTTCATTGTCAAAAGATTTAAATAAAATTACCGGACCTTATAATATTCTATTATAATTTGATGATCCCGAGTGGCCATAGCAAAAAGACGAAATTTGAGCATGAAGATTTAGATGCCATTAACGTAAAATTAATGTTTTGAAATTAATTTAAGTTTTACCAATTTAGAAAATAAAATTAAATAAAAAAAGTGTCCACTCGGGGGTTTGAACTCGGAACCCTTCGATTCGTAGACAAGTACTCTAAATTTTCGTTATGAAGACTTATGAAAAAGTTTTACTTTTTAACGCTGATAATCAGACTGCTTTTAGTTTCATTAAAATCTCAGTTTATTTCTAAATATAGACGAATATCTTGTGGAATGCTATTATTTATTGATTCTTTACAAGAATAACTAATTTTTATTTATATTTAATCTAAATAACTAAAAAAATATATACTGACAATTAATTTGACGGAATTGTCACTTATAAAGTTCTAACATCTGACGTAGAGGGCGTATCTAACCAGTAAATAAAATCGTTAGTTCAATGATTGTACCAATAGATGTCGGGCGCGATTGCCTCCAATAACTTTTACATGGCGATTGTCCTACTATAGTTCTTTATACAATGATCTAGGTTTACTTGACTGATTAACAAATAATAGTCCTATAGTTTAATCGGCGAGTAGTTACTTTCAACTTTAATCAGAGGTGAAAAGACTGGCTATTAGTATAAATATTATTTATATTTTTAAGCAATCAAGACGTAGCTAGATCAAGATTTTCGGTAATTTTTTATATACGTTCCAAAGAGTTGATTTATTTTGTATCAGAATTGTTATTTTTTGGTTTTTTAACAAGTTAGTCTATTTTGTAGGGATAGACTTAATTTAAATGATTTTTTTATATTTTTTAATAAAATGGGTATTATTCATTTAAACGTTATGTTTTAATTCTCAGTGCATTTCCTTGTAACTTATTTCTTTAAACAATGCAACACCTTGTATCCAACATAAACAAACTGTATATATAAAAATAAATTCAAGTTTTGTGTATACATCAAACCTTCATACAACTTGTAAATATGTGCTAAAAAAAACTACCTAAAACATGTTCTCTGGAAAATATTAATTTTTTTGGTCTCCTGTAAAATTCATACTCCACATTTTATGAGATCCTGCCGTTCAGCCCTCGATATACAGATACAGATAGCAACACCCTTACTGCTAGAGACCTGACTTTTCACTCTGCTTCAATAATAATTTTTAAAGAAATATTTACAGTTTATAGCTGATCAACTCCGTATGTACAATAAAGTTTATTATAATTACCTGAACAGGTGGATTAGGAGGTTTTGTAGTAATAATACTCTGAATGTTTATCTTCTTAGATCCAATATTTTTGGGACCAATTTTTTCTTTCTCTTCGTCAGGAAGTAGACCTTTTACCTAAAAAATTCAAAATAATATATATTTCGCATATATACTAATAAAATGTATATATTTACTTTGTGTATTTGATGAATTTGTTCCTCTAAAGTAATATTAGCCCTCGCGGCTCTTGTCGCTGCTTCCACGCTGCTCGTATGCCCATCCCATGTCACTTTCTCGTCTTTTCTGACATCCTCTTCTCCAATCTTTTTACCAATAGCAGTTTCTTCATCTCCGACACCGAAAATATCGGTACGTCTTTCGGCGAGGAGTTTAAGAGATGCATCGATGGCGCTACCGGCTGCATAAACCTGCGTGTACGTAATAAAATAGTTAAAAATAAATAAATAGGCTAATCAGTAACTACTACGAACCGTATCTTGGTTCATCTTGTCTGTAATTTGTTTGTCCCGCTGTTCCACCCAACGGGGATCCAAAAGCCCGATGCGCATGTGTTCCTGGACCTTGCTAGCTGGAATTTTCTCACCAGTGATGGGAGAGACTAGATAATCGTCTCCTACTGTAGGTCTTGCGACTTTAACGGCTGGAAAGTACAGTAAAACATTTTTTAGTTATGTTCTTGTTTACCTCTTTTATAATTTATAAAAAAATATGCCAACAACTGTAAATGTTTTCTGAGGCCATTTCCAATTAGCCAATTTCAGTTGTAATGTATACTGTGTTAGAGCCACGTTACAGTTATCAATTTGTATTGCACATCTGCTCATTAACAACTAACTATACAATATATAAAGAAATATATAGTGTGTCTATGTATGGAAAACTTTTTTATTATTAGTTTTATCAAAAAACAGCTTGCAAACAATTACAAAAAAAATGTATTCTTTATAAAAAGTTATACATAGTCTAAAACCTACATTTCAACCATCAGATATTAAATTTTTTGAGCCGTATACGAGGTGCGTCAAAAAATATAAATTTTGCTCAAGAGTAAAGTACCTTTATTTTTAACAAACTTATACGACTAAGAAAATTTGGTATCAGATGATTGAATTTTAGGTTTTAAGTCATAAAGAACTTTTTATAAAGAATACCTAATGTTTTTGTCCTGCAATTATTAATAAAAAAGTTTTCCATGTTCCACTCAAAAATACAAATGCAGCAGCTTGTGGATCAAAAGACAAGGGAAGAGTTAAAAAAAAATATCGTATAAAATTTAATGGGATTTTCGGCTAAATCACCGAAATCATAAAATCAATTTTAGGTGATTTCCAAAATACAGGTTCTTCTGACCTTAGTGGTTTCACCCCAGACTTTGCAGTTGAAACGTCGGGCCAAGTTTTATTGAGAAGATTACAGAATATGATATAAAATATTTCATACAAAAACCAAAAAAATAGAAGGCATAATTACAACATAATTTATTTACAACCATATATGTAATGTTGTCATTCCTAACGTCATTGAAGGTTGGGAAGTGTCACATTACACACTTCTACTTCCCGCCCTCATTTCATCTATTCTACTAGATAAATATTTTTTTTATATTTAAAAAAATAACACATTTTTTGACAAATTTTATAATACCTATTTAATGACAAACAATAAAAAACAACAATGAACTAAAATACTACAAACATTTTTTTCAATTTATTATTCGCGAATTTAATATCGGACTTTATCTGACATTTATTGACTTTATCTGACATTTATTTATATTGGTGACAATTGTTTGCCCCGTAGTCACGGTAAGAATATATTTACTTGATTATTCTGAGAAAACCATGTACTTGGTAATTTGTCATTAAATGTAATATTTTAGGTATGTTGAGAATGAAACAGAGATTTATTAATTTTGATACAAATATGATGGTTGTAAATAAAATAGTATACAAACCTCGGTGGGAAGTTTCATTCCTCTCTCGAGAATGAAACTCTTCCTACCTCAGTGTGTAATATACTATTACTAGGTGCATTTATGAACTTGTTTTTACCTTGTTTAGGATCATATTTCTTCACAAGCACTTTATCTGGAGCAGGTGGTAGAGGGGGTTGAATTGACGGCGGGGGAGGTGCTCTAGGTGTCTTGCCTTCATTTTCATCTTCATCAGAACTTTCTTCCTCCATATCCTGAACGCGATTATCATCACCTCCTTTGCGCTTAGTTTTATCCTGCATGGTACTCAAACCTTCCTCCTATTTTTTATAAACACAAAAATTATTTATTATACAAGAACACGTATTTTTACTCACAGCATTTGGAGTATCATCGTCATCATCGCTTTCCAGTTGCATTTCAATGTCTTCTCCATCTTCAATTCTTTCTTGTATTAATATCCTGGCGCCGACCTCTTCTGGTGTGGTAGGAGGTGGGAAGTTCCCAATTTCAAATGGTTGGTAGTCTACTGTTTCAACCACCACAAAATCGTGCCAGTCAATTTGAGCATAGGCCACTAAAATTAATTATTACTCTAATGTTACAAATATTCCTAATATAAATTTTTATGAATACAATTTGGATCCTAGCCTATGAAAAGCTGCTATATCACTCCAGAATATTCAGATCATTATTTGAAAAAAAAATTGTTAATATTCTTAATAACAATGAAAACTAGTAACATTTTATAACACAGAACAGAAATAATTTATTGAAACTGTTGTTAAAAGTGTAACATAAAATTCACTATTTTTTAAAGGTCTAGATCATTATAGCATACTCTCAGAGAAGTTGAAATCTGTAACTACATTTAAAATCAAAGTTACCGATTATTTAATTAATAAATATTTCTCCAGAAACAGTAAAAATCTTTAGGATTAGTCAGTTTTAATTGCAGCTTCGTACTAAATTTGTATAGCAAACTGGCTAAATAAAAATAATAGTTAATAAATAACAAATATTCAATTTATGGAAAACCCCATTAAATATATAATAGCAGATAATAAAAATCTAATTTGACAAAATAAGAACCAATTTTGTGTTTGTTTTCTACCAATAAAAAGGATACTCAGGCATTTTAGAGAATCAGTTAATGAAAACCATTGAGAATATAAATATTTTTGGTTTCCTACCTCTTTCTCGTTCAAGAATCTCCTCTTCTTTTGCTTTTTGTTGTTCCTGATATCTCAACCACTCTGCACGATATTTTACCTGTTCCAGTACAGCTTTAGCACTTTTTGCTTCATCCCTAAGACGCTGTTGCATACTTTTTGGAGGAATAAGAACCTAAAATATTAATATGCAATAAAACATACAAATAACTAATAATAGATTAGATAAATAAATTTTTATTCCTTTTACCTTAGTATATTGTTCCAACAGTTTAGTGAAATACTGAAACAAAGAATGCTGAGGTCTCAGAAAATCAAACTGAAAATTTCTCTGTTCCCTGTTCATTAACTGGGTCAAAAATGCTCTACCATTTCTAGCTACAAACTGAGCAGTGAGCTTAACAATGTCCCTAAAAGAAAAAAATAAATTTAATACTTATACTTAAATGAACTAAAGTAATGTGGGATAAATGAGAAATTGGGGCAAGTGAGAATTGCATTGATTACAAATATTTTTATGAAAACAATTTGGATCCTAGCCTATGAAAAGCTGCTATATCACTCCAGAATATTCAGATCATTATTTGAAAAAATTGTTAATAACAATGGAAACTATAACATTTTATCCAGAAGTAGGAAGTTCTGGGATGTAGTTTAGGAGTGTCTAATAATTTATGCTCACTCACTATTAAATAGTTTAAAAAACCTTTTTTTCATCAAATATAGCAGAAGTGATGCACTGTAAATAATTTTGAGAAGAAATGATAGGTCTCTTTTACCCCAAATCTCCAATACTTGGGGCAAGTCATACTCAATGTGGGACTTATTTCCCTTGCTTTGTCCCTGATTCGTCAAATACTGACGAAGATGATACCATATTATCATTGATGAGGGTAATAATTATGAATATATAGAAGTCATTAAGAGAATATGACAAGCGAGAAGATGAAGAAAAGACTGCGAAACTAGGTAAATTTATTTATTTATGTAGCACTTACAGAATGTAAAATTCCAAATAGTACAGTATAGCTAACATAACACAAACAATTGTAAGAATTAAAAACAATATAAAATAAATTAAAAAATATATATATAAAATATTTAGAAAAGGAAGAATAACACAATACCGCGGGACGATACGAGTAAAACATAGACATTTAGGAGGTGCAAGTCCCTTTTTAGCGCCAAAATATTACAATTAACTATATCACAGTCTGAGTAAAATTTGTTATAGTTCTTGCATAAGCGATCAATAAATGCCTTCGTCCGTAATTAATATAATAATAATAATAATAATAATAATAATAATAAACGTCTTTATTATACCAGCAAAACAACATTTACAAAGTATAAATGGCGTAGTCTAGCCAAATGGCCATTCAACTTAACCATATCACAAATCCTAAAACTAACTTAAACCTAACCTACTCTACATTACGCTGAATGTCTACGGATGAATTCAAATTTAAATTAAGAACAAGAATTAAATAAAACAAATAAAATTTGCTTGGCTACCAAGAAAATATGATTTTAACATTATTTTAAATGAACTAGTACTCAAATATGATTTTAAGTGTGTATTTAGTGAATTGTATACTTTAGCGACATTATAGCTAAATGACCGTTGAAACATGGCAGTTCTATGTCGTGGCATGGCGATAGTATGGCGATTTCGCAAATTTAAGGCGGCGTTAGCAAATGTATTAGCATAGGAGAATTTTTCAACATATAAGACGGGCTTTCTAGACAATGAATTTATGCGGATTTGCTTTTATAATATTCTAATAGTATTGAACTAGTTCCTGAATATATTTTAAAGTGGAAAAAAATTGAGAGAATGAAGAAAATAACGAATTTGTGAAAATTTTACATGTAAAAAAGTCATCATAAATCGCTATAAAAACTATTTCAGGAACTAGAATATATTCCCATTGGAGGCTCCGCATAAGAAATATTTCATTTTTTGCTTTCATTTTCCAGTCTTATATGCACAAAAATTTTTAATTTTAACCCAAAAAACGCAACCAACATTACATAAAACAGGTGTAATCCCTGTAATTTTAGGTTCAGGCAATCTTATATAGATGACGCCACCTGAAAATATCAAATTTATATCGAGCAACGTTGTCATATTTTTATGAAGTATCGGAAGCAAGGAAGTTCGTTATTTTATTACAAAAATTAGGTAAATTGTGTTAAGTCTGGTTTTGGAGAAACATTTAAAACGTGTAGAGATTTTGTAAAATGTTTCATTTTTATATTACAAAATATAAGAACGTAATTTATCAGATATTAAATATAATGTTGAGTTTTGTTTTTTCTGGCTGGATTTACGTGAAAATTGGAACAAGATGCATGTGAAAACATCGATCCTGGCCTTTCAAATGCATTTGTGGGTTCACAAATTAGTTGAGAAGAGTTAAAAGTAAGAGCAAACTTTTAAACCAATTTATATTCTTAAAATCAACTGAAAAAGTACTTAAAATATTTATTGAAAATACAATAAATTTATCACACTGATTATTGCAGCATAGTTTAAATTTTATTATTATTATTATTATTATCTCTTCTGTATTTTTGTTTACATTGTATGTTTTTTTACTTTCCTATCTGTATACAGATAAGGAAAATATAGTAATCATGATTTTTTTCGACATCGATTTTTTGACGGATTTTTACATTTTGGGATCCCCTGAATCCGTTTTGACTATTTTCGCGATGCTGTCTGTGTGTGTGTCTGTATACTCGATAACTCATGAACGGATAAACAGAAAAATACCAAATTTTAAAATTAAGTCTTATTCCGGCCTGCGGTGAACTGATTAGATTTTGAGCACAGTTGGCACTTGGGGGTACTTTATAGGGGGTCATTTTTATATTTTATGGAATATATTTGTTATTTACGGTTGTAGAAGAAAATTCTTTAAATAAAAGGTAATTCAAATAATATTTTCTACAATTTTTGTTATATACAAAATTTTGCTAAAATGGTTCGTATTCCAGAAATTTGACAAAATGTAAAAAATTCAAATTTTTATGAAAATTATTTATATAAAAGTTGTTTGTGATACAATTTTCTATAATTCTTGTCTTATACATAATTTCTCTAAAGTGGACCGAATTCGAGATATTTAATAATTAGTGTAAATTTAAAATTTTGAAGAAAACTCGAAAGCGGATAAAGAAAAAACATTATTTGTTAAATTGAAGCGTTATTCCGACCTGTGGTGAATTGATTAGATTTTGGACAAAGTCGGAACATCTGGGGACGGGGTTACTTTATGGGAGGTCGTTTTATATTTTATTGAATATATCTGTTATTTATGTTTGGCGAAGAAAATTCTTTAAATAAAAGTTACTTTTAATATTATTCTCTATAATTCTCACTTTTTACAATTTTTTCCATAAATGGACCGTATTCGAGAAATTTGATAAAAGGTGCAAATTCTGATTTTTAAGAAAATTGGTAAACTAAAAGTTGTTTGCAATATCGATCTCTATCATTTTTGTTTTTTACATTATTTCTCTAAAATGGACCGTAATAGAAAAACTGGAGGAAAAGTGTAAAATTAAATTTTTTCAGTGTTTTCATTTGCAGTGAATATATATCGAAAAATGTTTCGAGTTAGATATATGTAAATGTATATATTTAGTTTATCTTTTAAACATTTACAGAGTTGCTGCAATAGGTTGTACAAAATAATCGGGAAAAGCCTGTAATAACTAGATAGGAAAGTCATGTGTTGGACACATCAGATTTTTTCGTAAATGGTTAATTTTAGGTCAATAAAATGAATTATTACTATTACTTATTATTGACCGTCTTCACCGTCGTCAAACATGTTTTGCTTACAACTGTCAACAGTATCAATCGCTTCACTGCTTTTTAAATCATGATGGATAAATAATGGAGCGAATAGATTATGCTTTTATCCTTAAGGCCTACTTAAGCATAAAAGCATAATCTATTTGCGCCACCACAAAAAAGAACAAAATGAAATTTAATAAACAAACTCATTTGATCAACTGCTGGGTAACGTGTAACTATAAAAACACTAAAAAAACACAAAACAAAACAATGATAACTAACAAATAAGCTCAGACTGGATGAACAAAGAACTACTTAATAATATACGAACCAAAATAGATTCAAATGTTTATATTACATTGTCCTAAAAGTTTTATTCTGGTTCATAATAGTATAATAAAATGAGCAATTTATGGTAGCCATTATTCACGCAGGATGACGTTTGCGTCCCGAGCCGTAAGCGAGGGGCGCAAGTCACCCGAGTGAATAATGGCCATAAATTGCGAGTCTAATACTATACTTTGTCCACGACCATTATGGTTTCTTTATTAAATAAAAGTTAAGTGTAGAATGGAAAGTTTTTATTAAACATAGATAACTAACTGTTGTTTTTTCCACTTTTCAATTTTTGATTTTCGATTTTTCGATTTTTCGATTTTTCGATTTTTCGATTTTTCGATTTTTCGATCTAGAAAATATCGTTATGAAAAGTATCGCCTATCTTTAGTTATCTACCGGAATGTGCGAGAATTACAAAAGCGTGAATTATCATAATTCACTCCGTGATATATGGGTACTATATGCTTTTAGTTAGGAGGTAGAATATTGATTTATTATTAAGTGGTCGTAGACAAAATTATTTAAATACGGTCCCTATAGGTTCAATATTCTAATGTTATAGTGTTTGTCTCGTCCGGCGGTACAATAAAATGTTACGAGCACTTTAGATTTGGGAGGGAGGGGACACTTGTCGGGTCGCCGGAAAGTAGTTTACACAATTTGGCAAACAGGCAGGTATAATTCAACATTTGAATTATTTCGCAGAAGTGCATCTAATCGCCATCTATTGACAACTTAGTTAATTTGTAGTTTTTGTTATGAATTACCTGGCGTGCAAATTCCGTCTTAAGGCATGTGCGTCAATCCTATACGTAATCCGTTCTCTTAAATATAATGGTGAATTAGCTTTTAATAAATTGCTTAAAAATAATAAGAAAAGAAATTTGAACAAAGAATCTATTTTCAACCATTTTAATGAAATAATGTAAGGTGATATGTGGTCATATTTTCTTTTGTTACAAACAAGCCGACAACACGAATTTTGTATTTTTTGTAAACGGTTTGCAGTAGCCCTGTCGAGACAAGGATAGTATACAGAGATGCAGTATGTTATTTTAGAGATTACCAAGCTTTCACATAGGGTTTTTTTCATGTTAAATGTTAAATATTGTTTACTTGCATATAAGAGTCTTAGACGAAAATAACAATTTTTTGACACTTGAGAAACATGTTCAACAAATTTTAAATTTTCATCTAAATACAAACCCAAATTCTTTTCACAAGGAGAAAATTTTATTTGTTCACCATTTACCCTAATCTGCA